ACACGTCCACCACATATGAAAAAATGAGCCAACAACTTTTTTACATTTCCAACAAACATTTGAAAAATGAGGGTAAAATTTTGCTAACATATCTGGCGTCATATACCATCTATAAAACATTTTATATATATTGTCTGGAAGTGGAGCCGTCATAGAATCTACTTATAATTATATGCGGTTTTGATAGACAAAGTATGTTGACTTTACAGATATGCAATACACAAATGGATTTTGTAAGAAGTATTTTAACAGATATTACAAAGGTGTAAGAAACTCCCCAACCTTTTTATGTTCTATGTTTTTGTCTATGTATTTGTATGTTTATATATTTGTTTGAATTATAATAAAATACAATTTCCCCCCCCCCCAAAAAAAAAGAGCCCTAGATGCCATATATTTGACATGTCTGCTCTAAATCTCATTAACATGCAGGGACACTTAGAGTGATTTTGTGATATCAAGAGTTATCAAGGGAGAGTGTCATAAGGACTGTATCGTAGAAACAGTTTTGAGTGTGGAAGTATTCCTTCCTGGTCTTAGAAAGCATGACATATACAGATCAGTCATTAACTGATCAATTTGTCAGCTTGCCAGGGGTAATTGTCCCTGGCCCTCTGATAAAAAGAATGCCTAATAGTACATACCCCCTCCCCCCACTTGTGTTGTTGTTTGGAGAAATTTATTTATTTATTTATTATTTCATTCCATTTCTATCCCGCCCTCCCCGCACGCAGGCTCAGGGCGGCTTACAGGGCACAAAGTGCTATAAAACAGATAAATTAAAACAACAGAGGCTAAAAACATTACAATAGCAGGATTCTCTCTCACTGCTTCCCTTCTCCACAGTGCAAGAAATCCTTGTTTTCCCTTAGGTTCTATATGCTTATCATGCTACTTATGCTGACGGGGAGGAAGCTGAGGAACATCTTGCTAGCAGTTGAATCAGGTCTCATCTTGAGTTGGTTCCTCCTCTGTATTGCAGGTATATAAGCTTCTGAGTGGCCAGAGGCACAAGCCTTTTAGCAAGAACCAAAGGGCCCTTAGGTCACAGCCTGTGGCCCATTGTGAGGATCAGTCCAGAATGTTGTTGGTGTACTTTCTGTTTGTTTAAATTGTATTTCTGTGTTTTAAATGATCTTTCTATTTAAGCTGTAGCTTGGTCTCTTTGTAAGCTGCTTGGGTCCCTATTAAGGAGAAAAGCAGGGTAAAAATGCTCACATGAAAAGGAACAATTAAGACAAGGAACAATTAAGACATTGAACATAACAGTGAACATAAATAGAAGATAGTAGGCCAAACCAATATTTGTGGACCACATCTGAAAGGCAGTAGTTCAATTCAGATGTAGTATGAAATTAGGTAGTTCAGTTTAACTATTGCTAGTGGATCATCTGAAAGCCTTCAAACAATATTATTTCAGTTTGTGCATGACAAAATGGATGCAAAATTTTGGAGAAAATACACATGTGAGTCAGTGGGAAAATATTTGGAGTAAAGAAATTAAGTTTACTGAATGTCAAATGCTAAGGGAGAAAATGTCAAACACTAAGGGAGAACGGGTATAAAATGTTCTTTAGATGGTATATTACCCTTAAAGATATACGGTAGCAAAAGTAAATAAAGATTATAATAAGGAGTGCTGGAAATGTCAGAATACAGATGCAACATTCTATCATATGTAGTGGACATAGGGTTGCCAAGTCCTACCTGTCTGCTGGTGGGGGGACTCCCAATTCTTTCTGGAGTTCTTCTGGTGTGCGCGCAAAGCTCGCACATCACAGTGACATCACCCAGAAGTTACATCATCATGTTTCTGACATTGGGGGCAATGCTCTAGGCTTTGGGCAAAACTGCCTTTTTGGGTCTCAAAACCATAGAGTTTTGCCCAAAACCTAGAGAGTTGCCCCCAATGTTGGAAACGTGATGACATCACTCCCAGATGATGTCATTGCACCAGTGGTGCTGGGAGGGGGCTTCTTGGTGTGGGGCTTCCTCTGTTGGGCCACAGTGGATTGGGGCCCCCAAAATCAGGAGATCCCTTGGCCCCACCAGGGAATGGCAACCCTGTGGACATCAAAGAAAACTAGAAAATATTGGATTGAGATACATGAAGAAACACAAAAGATACTAAAATTAAAGTTTGTGATGGACTCAAAAAGTATGTTATTAAATATCTTATCAAGCAATATTACAAAAATACACAGTGAATTATTATTTTTTAAATAATTTTTATTTCTTTTATATACTACATCCTAAGGGAAAGGGGTTTTATATACTACATCCTAAGGGAAAGGGGCAAAGGAAGCTCTAAAACGAATACAGAAGCTAAATTAAGACAAGGGTCATATTTCAGAAATTACTTTCTTATATATTGGACCTTCAATAATAACAAAGGTACTATGTCAAGTTATTGATTTCTAGATAAAGCTGGTTTGAGTCTTTAATACAGATCTATAGGTGCTTTATAGTCAGTTGTGTTCTATTGAACTTCCAGTTTATTTTCCACACTTTTTCTTCTTGTATTTCAGTTTAACTTTAAGTGGTTTGGGAACAGCTACTTCTTTTTCCGAATCTGAGACCTCAGAGATACTGCCAGAGCTACTTGACCTATCTTAAGCTTCACAGTCACTTTTATCATCTTCTTCATTGTTGTCCTCAGTCTTTCTTTCATCTTTGTTCAGGTATTTTGCTGTTCCAAAAAATGTTTGGCTTTCTGAACAGAGTCAATCTTGGTCTTCTTATCTTTATAGCTGAATACAAGTCCTTCTGGAAATGTCCATCTGTATAAAATTGAGTTATTATGGAGGAAGAAAGTTAAGTCTTTGTATTGTCGCCTTTGCTTCCACACCTCAAATGGAATATCCTTTAAAATGTTCACTTCTTCATCTTTTTCTTTCAAGGTTTTTCCAGATGTAGCTTTCAAAACAGCTTCTCTAGTAGCTCTCTTGGAGAATTTTACAAATACTTCACCAGGTAGCTTATTTTTCTTGATGAAATCTGAGTAAGTCCGATAAGTCAGATCCATATCGTTTTGCAGTACATCTTGTTTAAGTTTCGTCATTGGTGCTAATGCTTCGCTTAAAAGTTCTTTTAAATTTTCTCCTTTTTCTGGAATGCCTTGAAAGTGCAAGACATACATTGATCTTTCCATTTGGAGCTGCAACAGTTTATCTGAGAATCTCTCTTTTTCCACTTCTTCCAGTTTCTGTTTAATATCTTTTGTTTTTGTCTCAACTTTCTTAATGGCTTTCTCAGTATCATCTGCTCTTTTATCCATCCTTGTCAATTGCTTTTGGACTCTATCCACCTTGCTGTTGATATTTGACATCTGCTCCAGCAGAGGGCGCAATGCCAGTGCCAGCATATTAGGAAAGTCAGCAGCTGCTTCCTGTTTCTGGGAAGGAGTCGTGGGTTGATTATTTCCTGTGAGAGGCTTCTTTTCCAGCGTCATTCTTCTCCTTCTACCAGACATTGTTTACACAAGGAGAAAGTTTTTAACGTTAAAATGAAAGTTCTTAGATTTGAAAACGCTTTGGACTATTTTGCACCTTTCGGTCTCTTTTGCTGTCTCTCACGGTCAGTTTCGCTTTTTTCCTCCCCTCAGTGAATTATTTAAGTATATGGTGAAAGAGGCAAGAGTAATATTTGCAGCAGATGGACAAAGCTTAAAGCAGAAGCACCTCATTTAATTTTTCCAGAGGTGTTTTTTTAGTTTGGATGGAGAGGACAATATGCTGTGCCTCCACTATCATAGCAAACTAAAGTAAATAAATAAATAACCTTGTTTTTTCCATTCAGCTTTCTAAACCGAGCAGTACTTCAGGTTTAACTTTAAGCGATTCTTTGGCTACCGGAATAATAAATGGTGGTTTTTACAAACCTTAGAGGAGAGGTTTGTTCCTGGGTTTTTCATGTGAGAAAGAAATCTACAAAACAAAATGTGACATCTTTTATTATACTGTCAAATATAGTTCAAAGAATGTATTATACAGTATCTTTTAACAGGCAGAGTGGTATCAGCAGAGTAGTATGTTAATTTTCATAGTTAAACATGAAAATAATGTAGTTCACTTAACATGATGTATGACGTAACTGTGCAAAGAGTATCAATTTGTGCTTGAACAATGCTTCCTTTTTAAATTTGTGCTTACTGATTTGTTCCAGTTAGTGACTTATTTATCCATTGCACAAGCATAATTGTCCTAGCTTATTGCTTTTACACAGTAGGTTTTCACAGTAGCAATGTTTTAGCATTCAGCAGAATAATGTGCTGTCCAAATATTGAATGCTTCCACATACATAAAACTTTATGCAAGTCAAAAATTTGCCCAGTAGGGAAGAAAAGTACCACAGGTTTTCCATTTGCAGGGAACTTTTTACATGGGAAAGTATTTTTGTATGTGATCCACTACCAGCATTCTGAAGGCCAGAAAGGTTAACAGTTCGTTCTACCAACTCAGAACCTTAACACTTCATTCGCCTACATACGTAGATCTAGGATTGCTTATCAGAGATGCTTTAGGCTGGTGGGCAGGGGGTTGGACTAGATTGTCTGTATGGCCCCTTCCAATTCTATGATTCTATGATATGAATTGGGAATTAGCCTTATTTGTTGAGAACAATTTGTTGGGGGTTTTTTCCTACATGGGATAAATTCAAAGGAAATGTGGGAATGAATATATTTACATTTGTCTTCTGTCTTGTTGGCAGTTTGCTGTCTGGAGAGGGTGAGGACTGGGAAGGTTGTGAACCTTTGAGCCTTATACATTTTCCAATTAAGTCCCTTGATTAACATGAGGTCTTTTCAAGAAAGGATGTATTGATCATTGGGGGGGAGGTATGCATTGTCCTTTTAATTATTTATCATAAATTTTAAAGTATAGTTCAGATTTCTTTTACATATGGTAGTGTTGAGTAAAAAGTATTACAGTGAGATGTGTATCTCAAACGCAGCAGAAGAGAATTTAATGGTATAACTGTTTTTTTATTTCCACATTTAGATATTGCAAATGGTTCCAATTCGGGAGGGTATCGTCCACCTCCCAGAACAAAAGAAGTAGTGATTAATGGGCAGACAGTAAAATTGAAATACTGTTTTACCTGCAAGATTTTCCGTCCTCCTCGTGCCTCACATTGCAGCCTTTGTGATAACTGTGTAGGTGAGTACAGTGACAAATACTTGCTATCTAGGGTTCCACAACCATTCAATTATTTTCTAAAGCAAACATTCTCTCTGCTAGCAACCTCAGTGATTCATCTCACAGCACTTTGTTCAGCTTGAACATAACAGCAAAGCTTTTGGTTGATTACTTCAAAACGAAATGTCACATTTCTGTCATTTGTACTGTTATGAGCCAGACTTCTGAAAATCCTTGGGTAATCAAAAATTAGATTTATTTTTATAAGTTAGGGCATATGTTTTGGTATGTTTTGGTAGTTTAAATAAAACAACAACAACAAATCTATCCCAAGTAACCCGCACTTCTGACTTTGAATGCTAAAAGAAATGACATAATACTACCGTAACAAAGGGTTTATGATGCTTTTTTTTTTTTACATCACAATCTGGAATTATTTGTTCAGTCAGCCTGACACCCATTGAAAGCAGGCAGAACCTGGTTAGAACAACCCAAATATTACTCTGGAAGACTGTGGTTATCAGTGATATTTTTAGAAGGGTAGCCAGGTTCAGCTGGAACAGCAAGATAAAACAGGCGTCCAGTAGCACTTTAGAGTAACAGAATTTATTCTGGCATGGATTTTGTGTGTCAAAGCTCATTTCATTACATGCACAAAGTGTCTATAAGGCCAATTTATTTTAAAAGCTGCAGAGTTTAAAACTAGCCTGTCTTTATAACATCTCCCCACCCCCACGTGCCTTTCTGTTGTTTGCAGCCTTATGGAAGTACACTTAATGCTATGCTTCTGATGAAATGAGTTCTGACTCATGGAAGCTTATGCTGGAATATATATATATATGTATATTTGGTTTTTTGTGTCCCATTGGACTCCTGTTTTGTATTAGTGTTACTGTCACCAATAGCATAGGAAGAAACACCTCGAAGATTAGAGGAAATTCATACAATAGTAAGTGGTGAATATATATCTTCTATTACATACTCTCCAGCATCTTGCAGATGAAAATACGGACACTCCTGTGCCTGAGTGGGTCATGTGTAGTCTAAACAAAGTTACATCTCTCTAAGCCTATTGATTTCAGTGGACTTAGAAGGATGTAACTCTGTTTAGGATTGCACTCTAAGGTCAGGCCAATGCAACACTTAAATGTGCTATATGCGGAAAGTAGGAAATAGAGCTACACAGAAGGAAACAAATGCCTTTGTACATCTCAAAGCATTGACCATGGGCCACAAACTACAAAACAACAACAACAACACCATGTCCATTTAATAGTCAAATCAACTCCTCATTTTTCTTCCATGTCTTAGAAACATTTCACAAAAAAAGTTTTTCTTTTCGGAACTCTGCATTCCATCCTTTCTTGTTACAGGCAAGCTCTTCCTGGTTGTTCTGCCCAGTTCATGCCTCCTGGCCTTTTTGAGCCAAGACCTTACCAGGGGTTAGCCAGGAGCATGTTTTCTAAAGCTGAGCCAACCCTGGAATATGGGAGCAAAAATGCTTCTGAAAATGTGCAAAGCCTCTCTCACACACCACTAAATAACTGACATCTCTTGCTTTCCTTGTACATAGAAGTCAGGAATAAATTGCCTCTTAGTGCTTAGGGAGGATTTTCAAGTGCGGACTCTAATCTGGGAGAACCGGGTTTGATTCCCCACTCCTCCACTTGCACCTGCTGGATGACCTTGGGCAAGCGATAGTTCTGGCACAGCTATTCTTGAAAAAAGAGCAGTTTCTGTCAGAGCTCTCTCAGCCCCACCTACCTCACAGGGTGTCTGTTGTGGGGAGGGGAAGGGAAAGGAGTTTGTAAGCCGCTTTGAGACTCCTTTGGGTAGTGAAGGGCGGGGTATAAATCCAATCTATTATCTTCTTCTAAGTAGCCAATAGTAAAAACAACTAATTTGTATTTAGCATTGAGGCTTTTAGGAAGAAGGTTTGGAGAGAGGAAAAATAAGCACGTTAATTTAAAATGGTATATTTTATGCATGCCTTAGTAAGAATTTATGTAAGAACACACTTTATTGTTGCTAGATTTGGATCCAGTAGCACCCTAGAATAGCCCCGTAGCTAGGGTTTTTTGGGGGAGGGGGCCTTGGGGGGGGCCCACCAGCTAATTAAATCAAAGGCTCCCGGGCAAGGGGGGGTCTGCTTGGCACACACCCACACAGCCCCCACTAGAGCCTTCCTCTGAGGTGAGTCAGAATCCCAATGTTAATAGACACTAAGGCTCCTCAGAGGTCTAGCAAAACTGCCGTGTTTTTTTTTTTTTTAAAAAGGAGAGCGGGGATCAAGCTTCCTCCCTCACTACTTCCCTGAGCCTACAATTTGAAGCCTGGCAGAAAATCCAACAGGAGGAGCGAACTGCTGCAATCCAACCAATGTGTGTGTGACTCGGTCAACCACCGGTTGCTGCTGGGTCCTAAAGAGGCTCAGCTCATCACAGATGAGCTCCAACAGGGAGATGCCAGCTCATATTCGTGAGGCAATCGATCAGGGGGTGAAGGGGGAGGGAAGGAGAGCTGAGGATTGGGGGAGGAGCCCACAAAACAGCGGGGTGGCCAGGCCCCACGTTAGCTACGGGTCTGCCTAAAAACCAACAAGATTTTCAGAGTGTAAACTTTTAAGAGTTAAAGCTCTGAATCTGACAAAGGGAGCTTTGACTCTTGAAAGCTTATACCCTGAAAATCTTTTTGGTCTCTAAGGTACTACTGGGCTGGAATCTATCAACAATTAAGGGTGTGGGTTTTGTTGTTGTTCTTGGGGTGGGTTATTTTTTTGTAATCATCGTCATTTCTGTGGCATCAAAATATAGAGGTGTGTATAAGCTTTGGGGGACAGTTTTTATGTGATGCCTGTTTTGTGCTTCAGCTTTTAATGTTATAGAGCTGAGGTGCACAAGATTCATGAGACACATACCCCCCAGTGGCCTTATGGCTCTGATACTCGTAATCTGTCCCCCCCTGACAGGAACCAGCAGAAGTCAGTTCAGTATTGCCACTCTGTGATACTTCTCCCCTAGGGGCTGGGGGAGTGAGGGTGTGTCTATCCGCTTCTGCGACACAAAGAAACTCTGCTGTATCCTAGGGGCTTACATTTCAGTTCAGGAAAATTTCCATTTTGAAGGGGGGGGGTCAGAATGCCTCCTCTCAGCCCAGAGACCAGCACTGCAGGGCAGCACACTTACCTCTAATCAAGATCCATTATATCCCACATAGTGTGTATGTTTTATAGGCACATATAGTATATAGTGCAAAAAGAATTAAAAATTAATACTGCTAAAACTATAAAATTGGAAGTTGATGTTTTTCTTGGGAAAAATTGAGCTATCTCTTCTGAACCATAAAAGTTGGTGGATATGCACTTCATAAAGTCTGAAACATAGAGCCTCTTGACAATGTAGGTGCCATAACCCACCCACCCAGCGGTTCGAAAGCTAATTAAATAAAGGAAGCGAGTAGATAAATGGGTACCTACCCTTAGAAGGGTAGGGGGCACCCTCCTCCATTGAGGTTGTGGTGGGAACATCGACGGCAATGACGACGGCGACGGTGGTGACGGCGGCGACAGCAACAGCAGCGTGATGTGGCGATCCCTGGTGGCCAGAGGAACATCGACCAGCGGAGGCAAAGAGGAGGAGCTGCGGAGAGGCGTGGAGCTGCGGGGAGTCATGGAGGAGCGCGGTGACGTAAGGCGCAGGCTCGGCGGAGCCGAATGAGGACGCAGCCGAGCCGGAACTGATGCGGACCGCGGGCCAAGAGAAGCCTCCGTACTAAGAAGACCTGCCTGACACCAGGAGAAATGCCGAACAAACTGGACCACCGGAGAAAACCGAAGCCGGAGCCAGAAACAGCGCAGCTAACCCACCACTTGGGTGCCGGAAGGGAATTCCCACCCCTATACGATAGATGTGGCCGTAGATAGGGATTATAATGTGCACTTGCACCCTGCCTGTAAACCGCTCTGAGACCTTCGGGTCAGAGCGGTATATAAACCGAAATAATAAATAAATAAATATGGGGAACACAGCTAATAGGTGTATAGCATGGGTAGTGTATTATAATATAAGCAGAGTCTATCTAATACAGTGGTTCTCAGCCTTTCTAATGCCGCGACCCTTTAATACAGTTCCTCATGTTGTGGTGACCCCCAACCATAAAATTATTTTCGTTGCTATCATAAGACCATTGAAAATTTGTGTTTTCCGATGGTCTTAGGCGACCCCTATGAAAGGGTCATTCAACCCCCAAAGGGGTCGCGACCCACAGGTTGAGAACCGCTGATCTAATACTACTACAAATCATACAGCTAATAGCTATGTGTGGTAGGGTAGCCAAGTCTGGGTTAGAATATACCTGGAGACTTTGGGGGTGGATCCAGGAGAAGGCGGGGTTTGGGGAGAGGAGGGGCCTCTGCATGGAACAATGCCATAGAGTCCATCCTTCAAAGCAGCCATTTTCTCCAGGGGAACTGATCCCTGTCAGCTGGAGATCAGTTGTAAAAGCGGGAGATCTCCAGGCCCCACTTGGAGGCTGGCAAGCCTAATGTGTGCCCCCCTCTCTATATATATCTCCAATCAGAGTAGGGTTGGTAACCTCCACATGGGGCTTGGGGATCTCCAGGAATTATAACTGCTGTCTAGACTACAGCCCTTGGAGAAAACGGCTGCTTTGGAGGGTGAACTCTGTGGCATTATACCCCACTGAGATCTCTCCCCTGACCCCACCTGACCCCAGGTTTGTAATAAAATCCTAAGCTTAAAGAAGGGGGAGGGAAAATAGAGCACAGAATAGTTTAGAAGGGCTGAGATCTCATGAGGGTTCCTCATGAAATTTTGGTAGACATTTTGAATTGCCTGAGTAACCACAAACACTGCTGACATCTCATTAAGTAGTCTTCGGATATTTTAGTTGTTATTTATTCCAACATGAAACTGTAGCGGGGAAGAGAGTGGACAAAACTGGAAGACTGAAGGGGCAAAAAATGAGTGGGTAAGGAGCAGAGGCAGGGAGGGAAAACAAAG